GTCCCCAGTCTGTAATTGTGTGGTCCATTGTATTGTTGATAGACCATATGATTTGAAGGATTACTCTCAATCATCAATATATCACCAGGTTGTACTGTTATCTCATCACTGATAGTAAAATTATATAAAAGAGGAGTTATCATAACAGCATTACTAGCACTAGTGTTCAATGTTGCTGCTGTAGTAGTGAGATTATTTGAATGTCTTATTTTAATTACTGGCATAACTTGTGCAGGAGCAAGAACTATCCAGTTAGTAATAATACCATGACATGTGAACCTTATATCAGGAAATATTCTAGTATCAGAAACATAATATGAATTAGTAACAGAATAACTTAATGAATTGATTATGTTATCAAGTACAAATTGTGGAAAGCAACCTAAATTAATAGAAATGATTCAATTATGATTGATTTATTACATACCTGTATTCTGTACTATTGGATGTATTAGTATAGTGAATTCTTCATGGTCAACTTGTTGACCTCCTCCTAATATCATAATGTCATTGTTGTTTGTATAATTCAATAGTACTTTTCCAGTTCTATCACGATCAACATCACCAGGCAGGTTATATAATGAAATCTAACAACACTTCTGTCATCAGGAGGTTGATATACACCAATCCTGTATCCACTGGAGACATTTAATGGAGTAGGGAGAGTGAAACGATACTGTCCATTAATTGTAAAGTTATCAGGAGTCAGTCTGATTTCAACAGACATCTCTCTAGTGTACACACCATCATCATTAGTTGGAGCCCATACTTCAAATCTTGGATATAAATTTCTACCAACATTATCATTAACTGTTCTTCTTATATCAACTCCAATCAATATTTCTGTTATAACTGTAGCACAAGTGAATTTTATGTTATCCTCAATAATAATTCATCTTGTTGCTACATTCACAGGGCTCTCATAGTTAGATAATCTGTTATTACGTAAATTTCCGTGTGCAATAACTGCTTTACCCTGTAGAAGACTATAATCCATAAATCCTTCAGTACAAGACTCTCCATTAACCTCCAGTAATATTCCATTACTCATGAAGCACAGCAGTATTACTAATAGACAACAGACAGACATTACTTCAACAGGAAAGCCTTGTTAGATAGAACAAACTGAAAGTTGTGTGGGCTGAATGTAGATCTAGGGCTATATAAACATCCCGTATATGTCATCTCAGCAATGATTCATTAAATTGAACGTTTTAAAATTTGTGTGGGGGCTCACTATGGAATGACAGTAGATCTATTACTGTAATATCATCAAAGCAATGTAACAATATGTTTTCTGCTTTGTGTTCCTATTACAAATTTTCTTTTTTATTTTTTACTGGACACTAGTCTATAAATCTTAATAGTTATATGCTCACAATTAGATAAGCATGATAACTGAGTATATTAGATACATGTTGTGTTGTGAAAGCTATACTTTATTGAGAAAGTAGTAACAGGAGTAAGAGGCTTTATGACTATTGGCAGTGAAATTATGACAACTGGTGTATCAGGTGTATACTCATAGTAATCTACTATTAATAAAATTTAATCTACAAATGAAAACTTTTATATTTAAAAAAGATTATTATTATTATTGTTCCTGTTAGATGTACAGTTCTTCTTCTTTCATTTGTTCATGTGTCTCATCTATGGTCTTGTACTACCAAATGTAAATTTATATAATAGTCACACTTGATTACAATAAGATACTCTTAAGTGTGTGTATGTAGATACTGACCTCTTGATCATTGTGCATTATTAATACTGGTTCATCATATACTACATCAACGCCTAATGATTCAAAGCAAAGTCACATTATGCTTAATATACTCTATTCACATAGATGTACAATCAATTCTGTCATTAATGACACACAGTTACTTTTTGGAGTTTAAGCACCTAGGTTAAACGAAGTTAATATCCATGAACTGATTGCCACATGGCTAGGGTTGGTCGGCAGGCGTGGCTTTGCTGTTAGCACATTGCGTTGCTTTTTGTTGCAATCACACTGCTGGCTGCTGGCTGCTCTGACTCTGAGTATTATTGGCTGCTGGCTGCTCTGAGTATTATTGGCTGCTGGCTGCTCTGAGTATTATTGGCTGCTGGCTGCTCTGAGTATTATTGGCTGCTGGCTACTCTGAGTATTATTGGCTGCTCTGTGTGTTATTGTTTCTCTGTCTCTCCCTTCAATCTCTCCCTCCCTCTATCAAGTTATGTGTTTGTGTCTATTATTATTGTATTCTCCGCCTGTGAGGCGTGAAATTCGTATGGGCAGGGTCTTTGACCCACACTCCCCCTAATTCATTATTTTGTATCTTCTGTTGCTGCAAGCCTTAATGCTCACAAAGGCTCGCATGGTGGGTAATTGCCTGACCCGAGTTGCATAGGTAATGCAGCATACCTATTTATCAAGCAGCTGATTGTGCCACAGCTATGGTCCGTCCAAATCCTAGTAATAGGAGTTAGTTAGCTTCTAGGGTGTAGGTTAGGTTCTAGGAGTAGGCCGTAGGATACATTGTTAGGTTTAGGTCCTAGGGACTGGGCGGACCAATTTGCTGTGTGGAGGCGGACCCCATGCTCGGGGGA